CATAAATATATGCATATATAAAATTATAAAGTCATGTCTATTATCGATTCATTTTTTTATTGTTGTATTTTATTGTCAAGTTACATTTAGTAAGAATGACGGCTCTTCAAGGTGACTTTTTTTCTTCGGGACGACATCCGTCAAGAAAATTGGTGGTCATAATTAATAGAACAAGGCAATAAGACAGACCGAATAAAACAATCGAGTCAATTGTTTAGAGAAATGACGAGAAAGTCTATAGAGAATAGATAAATACTTTCTGTTCGACCTCAAAGAAAAAAAAAAAACAATATCAGTAAATATACAACATATGTAAAAATAATTTTATCATCTTGTCCTATATTTACAGAGAAAAGTGGGACACCTTCTTTTATCTATTGAATTTTTCGTGTGTAATTCTAAAATAAAAAATTGAGATTATTTTATCATAATCTATAAACATTGTCGTTTGTCTCTTGTACAAAACATAGATTATTAGGAAAAAATCAAAATCAAAAACAAAAACAAATAAAGTAAACGAACGTTATCTAAAATGCATCAAACTATAAGCAGTTTAAATCGACAATCTATATATAGTAGTTTTCGTGTTTCTAAATCTCGCATGTGTTAGTTATTTTTCATTAAATTTATTATTATGAATGATACAATTTAAAATCTGTCTACACTTTTGACATTATTTAAATTATCACAAAGTTTAAAATGACAGCATGCTGATAGTACCGAGAGCGTCGGAAGTACAAATTTGATTAGCATAACTATAAAATTTTTGCTGAATATTAAAAAATCTCGCTACTTATGTAGAAATTATTGAAACTACAATAAAACTCTAAAAGAACATACTTTTTTTTTTTTATAAAAAAAGAAACAAAATTCACTAGAAGTTTATGCATGACAATATCAATTATTCTTCCATAAAGTAATTCTTAAGTATTCATAATATTAAATTAAATGTCATTCATTCTTATCGAAATTATACTTAAATCTTTATCGACATGAAATAGGAAAAAAAAAGCTAAGAATCAAAGAATATTTTCACATATCATTATCGTCTGATATATATTTAACTGTTCTTACTTCCTTTCTTTTATTACAAAATATATACTTATATACTAATCTTAAATTATTCATCTAATATTTCAAATAATATACATGAAAACCATATAAAAAGTAACCTATTTCCAGGCAATAAAACACATCGATATACTGAGATCTTTCGATGATTTTTCTCTATCATTGTCGTTTAACAGTATTTCTATAATCATCAATATAATTTTGATTATTTAATTAGTTTTGTATGGCAGAAATTTTTTTTTTTTTTAATTTTTCACTCAATATTATCAATCTTTGATCAAGAAATTTATTCCTATAATTTCTTTTTTCTAAGGATCTTGTGAAGGAGTCTATCTAAAAGGCTTTATATAATGCAAATAAAAACAGAAAAAAACCTAATTTATGCATTACAGATTAATGTTATTAAAACCAAAATGAAGTATCAAACGAGCAAATTTTGATAACACTGTTTGAAAGTACATGAAACACATATCTTGACTAATTCGTGTAGGCGTATCGTTTATTTTAGCTAAGGAGTATAAAGAAATGTTGTTTTCTTTTTTTTTAAATAATAATGATTAAAAATAAAAAAAACCTACTGTACTGAATGATCTATACACTTATATGAAAAAAACCGTATCAATGTAGTACTACTAAAGAGTAATTGATAATATTTATAATGGGAGTTTCTCTCTGACATATAAAAAAAAACACATTTCCCATTGAGATATGACGAATCATTGATTGATTTCTTTTTTTTCTTTCTATTTGATGAAGTTTGAGAGAACGACATATCATTTTTCTAATAAACTTTTACTATAGATACCTTGTATAATTGAAAAACAAAAGAATGCATTGAAATTTAATCTAGTAGATATTTAAAGATAGCTGTTTAGGATCTAATTTTCTCTCTTAATATTTTCATAAATAATTATGAATATTCACATTCTATTGTTACATATTTCTTATTTCACTTATTTTAATAAATTGAAATGTACGATTAAAATAAGAACAAAATTTCATTTTCATCAATTGATATTTATTATTAAACTTAAAAAGATACATGCCTATCTTTACTAAAAGTCTTCAAATTTTATTTACAAAAAGTTTTGTTTTTACAATAGTTTTTAAATAACATTGGTAATTATTAGAAAATCTTTCTTTTTCGACAATATCATATTCAAACACGATATAACACTTGCTAGAATATGTAGAACATTAGAATCACTTATTATTATTATTATTATTATATTGAAATATAATGTAATAAAATTTATCATTTAATGTTTCAACTTTATGAAATACCAATAATTTTAAGTATAAATAGCATATATGAAGATATAAAATACCTGTTTATTAGCGTAGGTCAATCTTATCAGCTGTGATATTCGAGATATATCTTTAAAAAAAAAGTCTATTGAATATTTATAGAATTTTTTTTTTGGTATTTATTAAGATAATCTGTAAGAAAAGGAATATTAAGTACAACGTCATCATATCATAGATGTGTAAGTGATCATTGTTAAACTTATCTTATCACAAGCACTCATGCAATAGACAGATATGAATACACAACAGAACAGACATGTATGAATTTTGATTTTATTCTAGGGTTAACTCGTGTAGAATTTAATATCAACTTAAATATATATATATATATGTCTTCTGATAAATTCGATTATGTTGTGCTAGACAGTATATTGACTTTGGGTATGCATGAAAACAATATTTACAAATGCTTTCATTATGACTAAAAGTTTTTTCGTATATCATTTGAAACAAGGCATATATTTGATATGAATGAAGCAAACACAAGTATTTACATATGAATTAAATTATAATCACATGTCAATTTTCTTGATTTTGGATAGAGCACAGAAAATAAAACGAAATAATACATAAAATATACCCAATAAAATTTATAATTATTTCATTTGTTAAATCTTTTTCGTTGATGGGAAAAATGTTATGTTATTACTTTTGTAATTTTTTTGGTAAAAGTATTTGTTCGTTTTTATGATTGCATCAATCATTTCAAGTTTATTCGAATGAATATGAAATTGACGTAAAACATTTCTATTGTTTTTTTTTACTGATTTAAGTTTACTTGTATCATTTGAAATTATTGATTTGACTATTGTTTGTTCTTAAATATGAAGCAGTTAAGTTTTGCTAAACATGAGACTCTTCATGAATGTTTTTACTGTGTACGAATTAATACAAATATTATTGAAAAATGATTCCATCAATTAACAATATAGATTCTTAGAATCATATTCTCTATTATCAATATATAGATTTGCCGTCAGATAAAAATCATTAAAAATGTTTATAATTAATAAAATTTGTTTCTAATGAGCGGACCATGCGAGCTGCTATCCACCGTTTGATTTCATATTATGCCTTGGTTACCTTAGCAAAAGTCTGAAACGGTTCGTCTTCATGAATCATTGGATTCTAGTTAAGATCGTTCTACTGAAGTTTCGACCGAGCTTCAGGTGAACACCGAAAAATAAAAAAAAACAGAATTTCGACATTAAAATTTTGCCCATAGACAGATCTAATGATTCATAGAATATCTTGAAAGTTTTAGCTAAATATAATGTTTTTTTCTTGAGATATTAAATTTTAAAGTAAACTTGATTGTTGTATCATGTCTGTGACAAATGGCTATTTTTCGAAAATTCTATTTCTCAACAAGAGTATATTCTATGAGTTGTTAGACCTATATAGGGGCGAAATTTCATGCCGAAATGTTATTTTTTATGGTTTTTTACATGCATCCAAAGCTGAGTCGAAGATTCAATAAGCCGACGTAACTCGGCTTCAAACGTCCATAGCAACGAACAATTTTAGATTTTTCGTAGTCTTATAGAGGCTCAATATGAATTCAAACGGTAAGTATCGGTTCGAATGATTTCCTTGTAAGTGAGTAGTTAGAATATACAACCAAGGTTGTTGATTCGAGGGGAAAACATTCTCCCTTCTGTCAGCTTTTTATGTCTTCGTGCTAAGTTTGAACATAAATCAGATATTGAAACACCATTTGCCCTTCTCTGACAGAAAGTGAAATAAAAAGAAGCAGACAGTGTCGTTGCGATGTACATAGGATTGAGGAGACCTTGGTGAAGAGACGGCCTGCTAACAGGTCGCTTGTTGTAAGAAGGACTGGGTCACAGTGGATTTTGTTCTTTTCCTACCTTCCAGTTATTATTTGTAGCGCTCCGAGAATAAAAGCATTTACTGCCAAATTTTCGGTCCCTTAGACTTATAGAAAATATCGATAATCCTGCATACAATATTGGTTACTTGTCTAGCTAGTTTATTTATAATTTTCGACTAGTTTACTTGTGCAATAATACTCTTCATTTTTCTGAATTCTCGAGAACAAAGTAGAATCTTACAAAGTTTCAATATGAAAACAAACACATAAAGCCAGTCATTTGTTTGTTTTGCAAGAAAACGTGTTGTGTTTTGAGAGTAAACGGTTGCTGATAAACATAAAACATAAACAAGAAATCTATTAATGACTACTCGATCATAAAATCAAGATTGTATAATAATAAGCACTGTATTACATGTAGAACAATGAAAATTATCCTTCAAAAAAGTCTTTTGAATCTTGAACTTTCAAAAAAATCTTTTCTGTAAATATATTTCTTCAATCAAATAAATTTCTCTCGATTATTTATAAGATAGTGCGACTGATTAAATATTGCATTCTTCCTTATCTGAGTGGGAAAATTTCCAACAAGCAAAATGTCTTATGTTCTGTTCTTTACTTTCTCAATCCAATCTGGGACGCAATTGAAAAGAGAGAAAATATATCAAACACATATATCAATTGAACCATCAATTGATACACGGCTTACAATTATTGAAAAAAAGGATGTGAAGTCGTACAGATACAGATGAAGCAAAGCAGGATTTCTTAATAAGTGTTCTCAGACCTAACCACAAGTATTCATAGGCACTGATTGAGTCGAAGCAAGTGCATTGAGACTGTTCTGTTGTTGATCTCGTTTGGCTTTTTCTTGATTAATTAAAACTTGTTGTACGTGATTTGGTAGACCCGGATTGAGTGTTAACATATATGGCAATATCATTTTTGGTGTCTCATTAAGATCAACAATAATTTTGATAAAAAGTGTATCATCTCGTACGTAAGGATTGTCATCTTGTTGAATCATTGGGAGTGGAAAAAATTTTGGAATACCACTAGCTATATTAGCATCGTTTACAGGACGTTGAAAAGAGCTAGATTTAACATCCGGACGAAAGGAATCGATAATATGCCGGTTGTTGCCTGTCTGATCAAACAGACAAAATGTTACTTTGTAAGAAAACGGCCAGACAAGCAGAGCATCATATTCTCCTTTCATAAGTAAAAAAAACAAAGACATGTGAGTTCTTCGAGCATTACCATCACCATGTAAATATAAACGTGTACGCATTTTATAACCGGTTGGTGACGAATAAAACATTGGCGAATAAATACTTGGTTGTCGTTCCGATTGAGCATCAGCCATTCGTTCTGCTACTTGATCAACACGCCATGTTAATGTACCATCAGTGGATATATGTTGACTTTCTTCAAGAGTTTGCTTCAATTGCTCGATTTTTTTCTGTATAGTGTCTTGTTTCGGTTGTAAATTAGACATTACTACATTTCTTTCATTAGCTGCTGTTTGAAAATGATTAACTTCTTGAACAGCTACTTGATAAAGTTCATTCATTTTAACAAAATCACGACTTAATTGAACTGTATCATCGTTCAACTTTTGAACTTTTTCAGCTAAATCACATAATTTTTCAGAAGCTTGTTGTTCAAGTTCATTAGTAATTGAAGTTAGTTCCATTGATTGATCTTGATCTGATGTTTCTAAAATTTCGCATTTACCGGTTAAAATTAAAGCAATCGTTTCTTGATGTTTTTCGCTCAATAAATGGTTCGGAAATTCTTCATTTTTAATCTTCAATTAAAAATGCAACTATTATATCAAATTTGACTTAAAAAAAATTCTTTTTTACCATTTCTTGACAACAGTGTGGTGCTAGAGGACATGCTTGAAAAAGAGCTGGACATGTTTTTGCTATATGATCCTCTAATGCTTGACTCGATGAAAATACTTCCTTGCACAAATCACAACTGTGATGAATATGATCTTGATCTAAATGTTCCTATTCAAATATAGAATATTACACTGTGTAGTTTGAAAAACAAAATTAAAATCCAAACTTGATAGGTTTTCAACTGCCCTTTCCAATTGCATTTCCCATTCACTGTATGAACACACATAACCTGAAGCGAGTCTAACTCTCTCTTAAATGCTCGATCAGGCATTACCTTTAATGATAAAATATGTACAGTTTATCTTAATGATACTTCATAGATAAACAAATAGTCTTTACTTGATTTTTATGGAACGGACATTTGCATCCCTTCACAGGACAATTCATATCGTCATTAGCTACTGCTGCACGGGATTCGAAACACCCTTTACAGCCTCTATGTCCGCATTCTGTCAATTGAATAGGTTCTTTGATGATTAATACACAATATATACATTTCCATTTGTCGCTTATGTCTTGAATATTAAATACATGATATCCACATTGTAAATGTGCTGATGTAGACGACGAGGAGGATTCTGGAGAATCAGACTGTTGTGAAAGTTGCCTGTTTGCCATTTTAATGAAAATTCCTCAATAGTACAAGTGAATCTAAAAAGTTGACAAGCTTTATAATATGGAAATTTTCTTTGCCTACATAAATTATGAATCATAGGAAGAGAAAAAGTAAAATTGTTATTCATGAATTAGTAAAGAATGATGTAATATTAATAGTTCGGAATAGATTTGACCGTCAATAACAGTACACATTAAAGTATGATGAAAATATCCAAGTATATACAGATAAGAACAAAAAAAATAGAAAACGAAGTAGAATATATGATGCTGAAGCACAAAACATTTAATAAACTTACTTTCTTTTGTTCCTGCAGAACTAAAAATACATATTTTACAGTTTACACTTACCAATTCAAGTTCAATCTTTTTTCTGTATTACTTTATAGCAAATCATATTTAAAAACATGCATACAATTTTCCATGCATCAATTAACTTTAAAAAATAATTTATTCAGGATGGTCTCATAGTAATACCTGTTTTTAAGATCTTTTTCTACATAAACTCAGAATATCTTTTAACACAAATCAACGATAGAATTGTTCTTATTTTATGACAATATCGGCATAAGATTTGAACATTTTTCTTAGAGCTTATTATCTTTAATTTCAAAAATCATTTCATGAAAAAATACCGAAACTATGAAGATTCGATCATATTTTCTTTTCAGAGAGTATTTCGTTTAATGTAACTGCACAATAAATTATTTACTTCTTTGACTCTCGTAGCGCTTTACCTTACTGAGAAATAAAAAAACGTACGCGGAAATCAGAAAGCCTTAGACACAGTAACCTTTTTAAGTCATTTACTGGACGAAGCCAAATACGATAACGATCTTCCGCGATTTTTCATGTTGGAAATTTCCAGTTAAAAAAACAATGATGACATGTTATCAAATACTGAATGAATCATACTCAGCTGGTGGACTCGGGCATCGGTTATGCACTTAATTTAAGACTTTGTATGAATGGGTCTTATGCAATCATTTAGATATGAAAAATACCTAAAATTATTGTACTATTGAATGAGACTTTTCTTGTTAAGAGAAAGTTTCTATAAGCACGAGTTTCAAATTGAAAACGTTTAGCTGGTGCTGCTCTCTGTAACTTTCAACGAAGTAGTTATAGTCACTGTTTAAGGGAAACAGCGAAAGAAGGAGAAAAGTACGAAACAGAGTGAAGGTCACAAGAAATCCATAATGGTGGACCAATAGAATTCAATGTTTCTACAATATAAATGATCCATACTTCACTACAAATGAATCCCATTGAGTTGTTCTTATTAGAATGACAAGAAAATGCTGATGCCCCTACTGAGCATGGATTAATTGTGTTTCTTTTTCAATGTTCGGCTATGTTGTATAAAAATATTTTCAATTTATTGCTTGCTTGAACCATTCACATAGATGTCGCTGATGAGAAGTGCATCTAATTTAAGTTGCAAGAAAGGAACTTCTTTTTAACTTTTCTTTTTTTGTGACAGTACCATGACATCATTGGAAGAAAATCCAACGTAGGAAGAATGAGTCAAAATCATTAAATTACGAGATGCGCCACATGCAGAGTGATTTTTTATGACGACGTCTATACAACAAAAAAACAAGTTTCACGACGAAGTATACCAAATCCGTATACATTTTGTATTACGACCGTCTATTGTGACATTGCAAACGGGAAAATGCTACCGTTTACGGCAAAATACGGAGCCGTGTAAAACGCTAAAATATGGCAATTTGTGGTCATTTAAAGACGTGCTTGTTTGGCGTAGAGTTTGCTTACTACATTGCACATGTGGTAGGAATGTCTGCATAAGAAATGCTTACCTTTCAATGCTTCTCGGACAATATTGTATAATCACTTTTGTCCTCTTGCACTGATTATTCGAGATGGGTCACCAAAGGGTAATTGTCGACAATTGCTTCACCTAAACGAATTACTATTGAAACTTATATACGTCTTTGTAATATTTTGAAACTCTTTCCTTCTAGAAAACGTCTTTTTTTATCTACATCAATTCGATAGTAGGAATAATAGATAAATAGAGAAGAGTATTAAATGGCAAGGTTAGTGTCATTGACTCACAGTTATTGTGTAAAACTGTATAAAGTTGAAAACATGGTTTGCGCTTATAATCATATGATGTCATTACCTATTGTCACATCTCACTATGCAACGTTGGTCTGCCTGTGTTGATTATATTAAGCTAAAAATAATATTAGTAGGAAATAAAACTGTGTAAATGCAGATCAGCTGTTGTTATGATTTTCATTTATTTTTCCCTTCTATTACTCTGTCATATTTATTTTCCCTTAAGTTCTTCGTTCGTAAATATTTTGTCTGTTAATCATAGCTTTTTTTGAATATTTTTCTTCCGAGTCAGTTCTCTTCCATGTACTTAACCAACATTTTCTCTTGTGGGGCGTACATATGACTAACGAGGGAATCATCCGAGGTGTCAAAAAGCTTTTCAGTCGGGGATATGATGGTTAGATCGGGCATAGCTAGGAGTGATATACCCTAAGTTAGTTCGTGCCCAAGTTGCTTCTAGCAGGAGTTATGAAATGTGAAATTTAGGTATAAAAATGAATCAGGGAAGGTTTTCTCCACTATTGTAAGGACAAAACATAGTGTTATTCGGGCCGATTATGGGGTTTGTAGGGATCCTCTTTCATATGGCTCGAACAACACCATGTTTTGTCGTTATAATAGTAGAGAGACTTTTTTCTGTAGCACATAGAAAACGGCGTTTTTCTATCAACCAGCAAAAAAATTCGCTCTACTATTATAAGGACAAAACATGGTGTTGTTCGAGCCATATGAAAGAGGATCCCTACAAACCCCATAATCGGCCCGAATAACACTATGTTTTGTGCTTACAATAGCGGAGAAAACCTTCCCTGATTCATTTTTATACCTAAATTTCACATTTCATAACTCTTGTTAGAAGCAACTTGGGCCCGAACTAACTTAGAGTATATCACTCCTAGCGATGCCCTATCTAACCATCATATCCCCGACTGAAAAGCTTTTTGACACCTCGGGTGGTTCCCTCGTAAGTGAATGTCTTCATTCAGTCCACACGGATACACATGCACATTTGAACTACTCTATTTTGAATAGTACAAATTCAAATTTTGATTTGAACTGAATTCTATTCTCTCCTACGACATACATTCACCATCAAGAGAAATGCCAACTAAAAATCTTCAATATACAATACCAATCGTATTCTGTAATTTGAATATAAACATTCAAAAGGGATTTTATTTTTCTGTACAAATACTATTTCATTGACTATTTCGATAGTCAAGCAAATCTGAGTAATGATAAGATCATCTGTCAAAATGGGATCTGAATCAAATAATCAAGTTTGATGAAGTACTCATTATACTTTTTGGAATCTTGTCAGCTAATTTCTTGTCATGTTGATACAGATTTCGCCTCTGCTAAAGTTACGTTGCAAAATATTATCATTTGATTTAGATACTATATCTATCAATTTTTTATTGATTCATAAGGTCTTTTAAGTTTCGAAATGTTCGGTTTGTAAACACAAGAAAAAATTTTCTTTGATATATTTGTTCGTTTTTAGTCACTGTTGATGAGTTGCAGGAATCTTTTCAGTTGATAACTATAAGTAGTGCCAGGAGATTCAAAACCACTTAGCAACTATTCTACTAACAAAAATTTAAAAGCTTGAGGGAACTATCAAGTTTCATTTTTCTCTAGTTGCATCAGTCAGAGATGTCCATCACGGTAGTTTCTTTGTGAAAGACATTGCAAAACTTCATGAATTTGCATGAAATTTCACTGTCCACAAATGTAATATTGGAACTCGATGAATCTCATGAATTAGTAATAACAGTTCTATTTCAGTATAGTCACGACCATGAAATACACAAACGTTTTTTAATACTAACATGGAGCGGTAGTACCAGGTTTTCAGTCGCAATGAACATCTCTCGAAACAGACGTAATTCAATTGAATACTGATAAAACCTAAAATCAATGCGATTAACAAGGATTAAAAAACAGAAATATAGCTAACAGTACACTGATAGTAGAGCTCTCGAAGTTTGAGCTTTTCACATGTAGTTTTGACTAAATTAAATAATAGGCTATATGTACATTGTACACAATGATTGGATAACATACTATATGACGATATATG